GTTAGTTTTTTCCAGCTAGGCGCATTTTCCAGGTTTGTGTTGAAAGAAAGGAGGAGAGACTTCTTACTGGGAAGCAATCAGCAGTCAGCCACATTTCTGAATCTTTCTCTGTGTAAGTCTATTCAGCATTCTTTTTTTGTGTGTGGGGCATGTGGGATCTTAGTTCCCTGACCAGGGATTGAACCCGCACCCCCTGCAGTGGAAGCACGGAATCTTAACCCCTGGACCACCAGGGAAGTTCCCTATTCAGCGTTCTCTTGAAGCTATCTCAAATAGTTTGTGGAAAAGAGTGAAGGTGTAAATAAACATCAGTGTAAATATCAATAAATAAAACATACTACATCTTGTTATTTGCTACTCTGCCTTCCCATAATTGTTTTTTATCAATTTATCATTTATACATATACTGATAGTGTTATGTTTTGAATATTCAATCAGTATAGACTTTTCCAGGGCTAGTAAGGACCTTAGATTTCTGCAAGGTTTACACATTCGGATGCCTTCAGGGACCATTCAGGTACCAGCAATGATTAAGTAGGCCACAGGTCATTGTTGAGGGCCATGATAGGGAGAGGTGGGAACTGTGGCAACCAGGAGGGAGTATGGCCTGTCTAGAGGGGCAGCCCCGCCCAGCTCAATTCATTGCTGCCATGTGAGAATGCTGGATCAGTGTTGCCAAATCTTCAGATTTTTTTCTCAAGAGAAACCAGAGATCCAGATTTTTATCTGAAATCTCCTGGTGTTTATAACTTAGCAGCTAATAAATTCATTTTTTTTTAAATGCCAGTTAAATGCACTGCCATCCCATGGGTTGCCAGTTTAAGGTCTCTGATCTGGCACATCCCTTGTTTTTTAGTTGGCAGCCGAGCCCTGGAAAGGTCAAGTAGCTTGTGATGTGGCTGGAGACATTGCTCTTTAGTCCCCTCCCCAAAAAAGCCTGGTCCTCTGTGGCTAATTTGACTCAGAATGTGAAGAAATAATAAAAATTTGAAGTTGAACAAGGCTACTCTGAAGGTTAATTGAGTCTCCTCTTCAACTGGCTTTCATTTTCTTTTTAAATCATTTTGGTGTGATGGAATCAGAGAAAATTGGGCTTCAATACCAGCTCTACTATTTTACAGCCGCATGAACTTGAGCAAGCTTTTGGTGTCTCATTTGTGTTTTCAGGTACTATCCACTTTCTTTCTTGTGTCTCTCTTTCTTTACTTTTCCTGCTTTCACACAGCGTAGTGGTTAAAAGCACGCTCTTTGGAGCCTGGTATGAATCTTGGTTTCTCTGCCTACTAGCTGTGTGACCTGGAGCAAGTTACTCAAGTTTTCTATGCTTCAGTTTCATCGTCTGTAAAATGGGGATAATAATAGTACCTACCTCAGAGGTACAATTTAATAGCGTTAGGATGGGTAAAGTATGAAGAGCAGAGCTTGGCACATAGATAGTGCTATATAAACACTGGCTGTCCCTCCCCCACCCCTTTCTCTCTTGTGTTTCCTCTGCTGCTTTCGAAGCCACAGATCTTTAGCCCATTGGGCCTGGCTCTGGTTCCCCATCTCACGGTGAGCACTTTTAGCTCCGGATGGCCCTGAGTAGCCAGCCTCCAGCCCCCAGTATGGACCAGATCTGGCAGGTGTTACAGCTCCCCATTTATTACTTTCAGTTCTGTTCTGTTTCTGGAACTGTGTTTTTGGGCCCATCTGCGCCCTTTTACTTTTCTCAGCTCATATTTTTTCCTGTCGTTGCTGTGTACCTGGGAGAGATGGAACAAGTCAACTGCCTGCTGTCTTGACCTAAACCTGGCTAAGTTATTTCATTGGTCACACAGAGATGGTACCTGTCAGGTGTTTCTGAAGATTATGTTACAAGTTAAAGGACAAAAGCAATGTGAGTTTGCGTTAGCCAGAGTTTTGAACGCAGCAGATAACTCGTCCTGGAAACCACAGAGAGCCCGTCAGTCTGTGGATTCACAGAGGCTTCGCCAGCAGGTCTGTCCAAACAGCCAAGAGTGCGTCACATGTGTTAATTAAAGAAATTGTCTTTTTCCCTAAAGGCTTTAAATGCAGAAAAACTTAGACTATGCTTATATTTCAGTTAAATTGCTTCTTTCTCAGCCTTTAATAGATCACCATCCGATCTTTTCAGCTTTTAGGTTAAATCGAATGAGATCTGACCTGACTGGCCCAGCTGTACAGCTTTTCAAGAACAGTTCATATTCGCAGTAGAGAGGAACAGGTGACGTAGATACGTTTTGGCGAGACTCTTATTTTTACTTCTTCTCCCCACCTTCCCTGACATTAGTAAGTAGTGAGTGGAAGTGGGGACAGAGGGACTTCTTGTACGTTTTTAATTCAGTAAGTCTACTCTAGACCAGCCAGGAAACTGGTCAAGCCATCCAATGCATTCCTCTCCTCTCTTTGCAACCAAGGGGACAAGAAGGATGTCTGTTTCAGTTCCATATCACCAGCATCATGTCAGAGAAACTGGAATTCCTGCTAGGTTTTGGTTTTGGCCCTTCACTAACTACACTTAAAAATCCCTATTAAAATTAACACAACATTGTAAATCAACTATCCTTCAGTAAAATAAAATCTTTAAAAAATCCCTATTAACGGGCTTCCCTGGTGGCACAGTGGTTGGGAGTCCGCCTGCCGATGCAAGGGACACGGGTTCGTGTCCCGGTCCGGGAGGATCCCACATGCCGCGGAACGGCTGGGCCTGTGAGCCATGGCCGCTGGGCCTGCGCGTCTGGAGCCTGTGCTCCGCAACGGGAGAAGCCACAGCAGTGAGAGGCCCGCATACTGGAAAAAAAAAAAAAAAAAAAAGTCCCTATTAACAAGCTGTGTCATCTTGGATGTTTGTTTCTCGTCGGTTTGACTGGCGTAGGTGGCAGGGCTTTGGAGAGATGAGGGACAGGGGCCACAGGTGGAACCCCTGGAGCATCTTTGAGTGCAGTGCTGTGTACTTTTTAGGTCACAGGCCCCTTGAAGAATCTGATTAAATCTGCAGACCCTCTTCCCAGAAAACTTTCAGACACACACACTTTCATGTATAATTTCAGGGAGTTCCCGGACCTTAGAATTCCATAGGGGACCTACAGACCCCAAGTTAAAAGAATCCTTGTTTTAAGGGTTTGAGGAACAGCCTTAGGGGAACATGGCCCTAGGAGTGAGGTGACATGTCCCCAGAGGTTAAGTTTTAAGGAAACTGTCAGCTCATAAAAGGTCAAAGGTTGATGCAGCTGAAAAGTATATTCTGAGGTCCAGCCTTGATTCTAAATCATGCCAGATAAATTTTTAAAAATTATTTTCTTGCCCTGATGGTGCGTTAAGGAGCCTGGGATCTTTTTTTGTTTGTTTTTTAATTGGGGTATAGTTGATTTACAATGTTGTGTTAGTTTCAGGTGTACAGCAAAGTGATTCAGTTATGCATATACATATATTCATTCTTTTTTAGATTCTTTTCTTATATAGGTTATCACAGAATACTGACTAGAGCTCCCTGTGCTGTACAGTAGGTCCTTGCTGGTTATCTGTGTTATATATAGTGGTGTGTGTGTGTTCATCCCAAGCTTTTGATTTATTTCCCCCCCCTACCCCCGCACTTTTCCCCTTTGGTAACCATCGTTTGTTCTCAATATCTGTAAGTATGTTTCTGTTTTGTAAATAAGTTCATTTGATCTTTTTTTAAAAGTAGATTCCACATATGAGTGATGTCATATGATAACTTGTGGGATGTTTAATTGCCTTTCCTCACTGAGTTGGAACCCCTGCCAGAGATCGTCTACAGTGTGTTTGGGTCCTGTATTTGCCAAAATCACCTCGATTTTAGAAAAGGGCTTCTGAGACCTCTCTGGCCTGGCTGTAGGTCTCAAATGAGTTCGTTCAGTTATGCCCCAAACACGTTTTTGAGAGATTGTTTTGTCCTGCCTCTTCTGTCTGCACCGTTGGCCACCAGAGTTCTCATACTGTTTTTAGCAGAGGCTACTTGAAACCATTCCAGGGGAAGCTGTTGCCATAGCTACCTTGGCTGCCAGAGTTACCGTTTTCTCCTTTTTGTTAGCTTGTGGTTTCCCTGATTTTTAAGGTAACAGCTGATGTTCTGTTTTCCTGCCTTGCAGCAAGGGAAAGGATGGAGTTTTGTTGCTGTTGATGTTTGGTTTCTTATGTTTGGAGTGGTGTGTGTGTGTGTGTTCTGTGTACAAAATAAAGCTACCTGAGAAGATGAAAAGCCAGATATGCATGTACATTTTCCATACTCCAGTTTTTAATTTTGGTCTAGCAGTTGAATTTGGTCCACTTTTAGCCCAATTTTGGACTAACGGCTATAGTCAGTTGCCTTCGGTGGGGAAAAATGTGGCCAAGTTCCATTTCACACTGCCTATAACTCCTAGGAGCAAGAACCACTGTGACCTGGGCTGAGCCTGAACTTGGCTCCAGCACCAGGGCTGCCTCCAAAGGAGCAGGTGGCTGAATCAGGCCCTTCCTGCTCTGAAAACAGAGGTGAGGCCAGCAGGCAGTACAGCCTCACCTGGTGGCAACAGCAGTCCCATCTCACGTCTCTGTCTGAGGCTGTAAACACCGTGCCTCACGTGCAGCTGGTGCTCCAGGTGCAGGTTAAGTCTGCAGAGAGATTCAAGGTTGCCTGGTAACAGAAATCAGAGCTCGCCTTCTGGTCCCCCTTGTACCTCTCCGACTGGACACCTTTCTCCTGCTCTCCACAGGATACTATTCACAGTATTTTCCAATTTGCTCATCTTAGAAATAAACGTTCATTAGATTAAAAAATACACCACCCAGCCCAGTTTATTAGTGCTCAGGACTGTTCATGATCTGGGTTGTTGCCAGTCTGTTGGCACTTGTAAGGCACCGATGGGAATCGGCCAGCGTGGGTTCTGCGGACACATCTGGATCGTGACAGGTGATCGCTGGCTTTGTCTCTGTGTGGTGGGCTCCTCCCCTCCCCACGTGCTTCTAAACCTGCCTGTACCCCTGCTCCCCAGATCAAGATGAATGCCATGCTGGAGACCCCCGAGCTCCCGGCCGTGTTTGACGGGGTGAAGCTGGCCGCAGTGGCTGCTGTGCTGTATGTGATCGTCCGGTGTTTGAACCTGAAGAGCCCCACGGCCCCACCTGAACTCTACTTCCAGGACTCGGGGCTCTCATGCTTCCTGCTCAAGTCCTGTCCTCTTCTGACCAAAGAGTGAGTAGACCTCAAACCCACCTGTACACCGGCCTGCTGATCTGTCTTTGCAGTGTTCAAAGAAGAACCTTCTCACAATGTGTCCTCAAGGCATCCATGTAAAATAGTGTCATTGGTGTTAAAGTAGCCACCGTCTAAATAGGAGCCTGGCGTTTGAATCCTGGCAGGCAGGAGTCAGCCTCAGATCTTTGTTGCCTGGAAACATCCCTTCCTCCATGGGGTAGTGTCATCATCCATGACAAGGACTTTGCAGAAAACAGCTGTCATTTTTAGGTAGATGCAGAAAGCTTAGACAGTATTCTAGCCCTTTATCAAATGCTCTGTTGCCAGTTCTAAGACAGAGAAATCATCCTGACCCAAAATAATTAATGAGCAAAAAAAGCACAGGCTCATTCATTGGGTACTGTCCCTCTGCCTTATTGAAAAATATACTGAGCATTAACTAAGAGAATCCACTTAAGAGAGGGTTTTCATTGCAAGTGAACCAGATTTCCCTGCAGAAGCCCCAGGTCTGTGTTTTGGGGGTGGCAGGGGTGAGCACTGCTTCTGATAGAGGAAACCGTAGTTGTAAAACAAAGGGTATCTGCATTCCACATCACACGTGCTGTTTTCAGGAGATGCCTCGTGAAATCTTCCCCTGTTGATGTCTTCTGAATAACTCCGTCTTCCTGCAGCACTTGGGACAAGCCTCTCATGTGAAGCAGTCCACGCTCTCTGGGGTCTTAGTTCCTTCCTCCTTCCTCATTGCTGCGTCACCTTGTTTGTGCCTCTTCAAGCTTAGTCCATTCTGCCAGGTGTGGCTTTCCAGATGGATGCTGCTCGGAGAGCTGTCTTATCCCAACCGTGTCCCCGGAGCGCCTAACAAAGTTCCTTATACTCAGTGGACAGTAGCAGAAGCTCTTCCCTCTATCCTGGTATAACCTCTCACCGCCTCTGTTGGGTGAATGATTCCCTTCTAAGAGGAGATGGGCAGCAGAGACACCTGAGAGTTTGAGCTCTTGCTTTGTCCTCTTTGGTTGTCTAGTTCATTTTCATGTGCTGTTACCCACGGGTGAAGAGCTGTGGGCTGCAGGTGTTTGGGGTGTTTGTGTACAGTTTGCTCATAGTTATAACAATAATGCCATGACTCCAAAAAGTTGCTATCAAGTTGAGAGAGACTTATAACTCCGTCATATTGCCTAACACCTGTGGACTGCCATGTACCATATAAATTTCATCATAGTAAATTTGCACCCACCCCTGCTGAAGGGACTTCTCATTACAGTAGGCTCCACAACCATTATCAAGGACGTGGTGTTCTTAGCAAGCAGTGTTTGCATTGAAAACGCTCCTCTCTGAGGAGCGTGCACAGAATCGGTATGTTTTCAAAATTGTCCAGATTCTTCCATACTTAATTTAGATAATTCACTCATCTGGCAAGGAACATTTGCACCCAATTTCAGATTGAGTGGGACCCAGTTAGACCCAGTTCCCAGGTCTTCTCTTTGTAGAGAGCTTTTGAAAACCAAGATATTAAAAGCCCTACAAGATTATAGGCAGCTGAGTACACATTTCCACCCAGCATTGCTTCCTAAGTAATTAGAGGAAGCCCTGGGAAAGTTGCTCCTGTCCAGGCTCTGGATAAACATCACAATAAGGTTTGATTCCACACTAATTGTTAAAAGTGTTTAAAAAAAAAAAAGAGCTGATTTTGGCAGGGTTTTTTCTTAACCTCTTTTCTTGTTTTTCTTTGAAAAATACCCCAGAGACATAAGTCCAACAGTTTCTCTTTGCTTTTTCCCCTTCCTGGCACTCTTTCTCGATGAGCCTATGGAACTGTCCTAGCGCTACGTGACCTCTATTGCGATTGCCCCCACCCTCCCTCCTGGGATGGAAGTGCATCCCTGATCACAGTCTCCTTGGACCTCGTGGCTCTGGCCACCCTCTCCCACCACCCCCTTCATTAACCAGTTGCCACGCTCCTTCCTGGTGAAACCCAAATCAGGGAGAGGTGGAGGTCAGCCTAGGCTAAAGGCAGAGCTGATGCATGTTTAGGACTTAGCTATGGTTTGAAGGTGGCTGTGAGAGGACAATTCCCCAGAAACTATGTACTTCCAAGACCTGTCCTGTTGAGCACAGGACCAGCCCTCCTAGAGTACGTTGGAACATTACTTAAAACAGCTAAATGCCAAACACCCACATTCTCTGACTTGATCGTGACAAATGATTATTAAAGGGCAAAAGGATTCACTTTTCCCCTCCATCTTTTAACTAAGTTCTTACTTTTTATTTATACTCTTAATTTTGGGAAAAACTATATCCTGTGTTCACGTAGCATATCACCAAAATGTTTTCCTGTTACTCTCTCATCCACATTACTGCATTTAAAATTTTGAGTATCTCTCATAGGCATTATGCCATTTAATCCTCTTAACAACTTTGAGGTTGGATTCATTTTTCCTCTCATTTTAAGGATGGGGAAATGAGGAGTAGCAGAGGCGGAGACTGGACCCAAGTCTGTGACCCCAGAGCTGGCTTCCTTCCTATCCACAGGGAGGGGGACAGAGACCTTTCTCAGGGTACAGGTGAGAGAGAGGAAGCCGAGAGCAGTGAGGGGCCAGCCCACGACAAGAGTCTGTAGCAGGACTGGCCCCAGAGTGGCCTTCCGATTCCTGCATGACCCTCTTTCTATTTTAATCACTGTCGGAAGCCAGTGGCCTTGATGTTCTTTCTCTGTGTGGCGTGTTTGTAACAGCCTTCCATATATTTGAAGCTGAGGGCAGGAAACATATCTGTTATGGGTAAAAGTGCTTCTCCTGGGACTTTGAAGATTTTTTTCCCAGAGGAAGCCTGTCTGCAGCCTTCACAAACAATCATCTAGGCTAGAAATGTCAGTTAATTGATTTACAACAAGCTAATGGTGTTACTCAGTAACCCCGACTGAAAGTGGCCAGTTATTATGACTTATGTCTGGAATCAGGACATAGTCTCTTGCTGTTCTGGTGTAGAAAAAAAAGTTGGTGAAAGGTGAACATCAAAAACCTGTTAGGAAAATAGGGATTTTTTTTCCCTCCCTTCAGCACTGAAGTCAGTTTTTAAATCTGTTTTGAGATCACCTATCTAAAGATACATTAGAAGTGAACCTTTTAATGTCTGGAAGAAAACTTTTCTAAGATGGGATGATATGTCTCTTGTTCACTTAGCAACAGATCAATATTTACCTAGCAATTCCTTTTTTTTGTTCTCAAGAAGTGTTTGCTTTCAGTGAAACAAGCAAACCAAAAGATCAAATCAGTATTTAGAAAATGTAGTTGATGATACAGATCTCTGTTTTTTCCCGAATAAAAAATTTAATGCATATTCATTTTTTAAAATGGAGAATAAAGTGAAACATACAAAAATCATCTGTAAGTCTCCGCCTCAGAGATTCATATCATTACTACTTTGGTCATCACCCCTGTGGGTTTTTTTCTGCTGCAGATACTTTACCCCAACAAAATCAGGGGCATATATAGCATTTGGTAACCTGCTTTAACACTTCGTGTTCCCTGGGAACGTTCCTGGCAGTCCAGTGATTAAGAGTCTGCACTTCCAATGCAGGGGTTGCAGGTTCAATCCCCTGTGGGGGAACTGAAATCCCACATGACTTGCGGCGCAGTCAAAAAATTTAAACAAAACAAAGCACTTGGTTTACCATGGACATTTATCCATGCTGCTACATATCTTCTAATATTTGATTTTTTAACAGCTTCCGAATTATGTCAACCATTCAGATTTCCTAATGGCCGCTGGCAGCAGTGGTGTAGAGAAAAAGGCTTGATTTGAAATGTAGATTAGGATACACACTGAGGTCTTCTTCTAAACTAGCTGCAGAACCCTGGACCAAGTGACAGGCCCTCTGGTCCTTGGTTTCCTTGTGTATAAAATGAAACAGTCTTACAAAGCTACTTCTCATCATGAAGCTATGATAGGAATGCTATGATGCTACCCAAGACAGCATCAATGTTCTTTTTATTTATTCATGCAGCAGACACCACGTAGACTTCTAATACCCCAGCTTTTTGTTGGGGGTGGATGACTCAGTGACTAGAAGTCACAGAGCCCATGAAGAGGGGAACATTTTAGAGCTGTGCTTTACATATATCTCTAGTTTTAAGCCATGAAGAAAAGGTTGAGTGTTTCTGATGCTAATTCTTTAACTGTAATGCATGAAAAAACCAGGGCTGATTGACCCCATTATTCTGGCTGTGTATACTACCTCTTTTCCCATTCTAACTCACACTGAACCATCCCAGTGTGGCTTGGGAAATGGGTTGTGCTATGAACTGAATTGTGTCCCTCCCCAAATTCATGTTGAGGCCCTAACTCCTGATGTAATGATATTTGGAGATGGGACCTCTAAGAGGTAATATGGGTGAAATGAGGTCATATGGGTGGGGCCTTCATGATAGGATTAGTGCCCTTGTAAGAAAAGGAAGAGATACCAGTGCTCTGTCTCTACCATATAAGGACACAGCAAGAAGGTGGCCTTCTACAAGCCAGGAAAAGAGCTCTCACCAGGAATCAGATTGGCTTACACCTTGATCTTGGACTTCCAGCCTCTAAAATTGTGAGAAATAATTTCTGCTACTTAAGCCAGAAAAAAAATTAAAATTAAAATAATAAAATAATAAAATGAAACAGGTAGCTTTCCTGCAGTACCCTTTCAGCACTAACATCCTCTGAGTCTAGGACCACTGCATTGTCACCAAGCACCAGAAGAGTTTCCTGTGGGAAGGACCCTGGGGTTGGGGAGCCCTGGCTACAAGGTAAGGGCAAAAACCCAAAGAGAAGGATTCTCTTGTGTATCTGCCCTCTCCTAACTATTCCCACTCCCCTTGCTCTAAGACAAGGGGACACCTGATCCCATGGCCTTTTGTTTTTTTTAAGGACTTTTTTGAGCTATCATTTACATATATTAAAATACACAGACCTTAAGTATACAGCTCAGGGCCTTTTGCATATATATTCACCTGTGTAAC